GACTTACAAGAAGGTAGTGACTCCAAATCGTGATGATAAACAAAATACGACGGCCAAAGCGCGATCCCGGAGGCTGTACACGACGATGCTGACGAAGTTTGACTGCGTGGTAATGAACGACGAAACCTACGTCAAAGCCGACTACAAGCAGCTTCCGGGACAGGAGTTTTATACGGCAAAAGGAAGGGGAAAGGTAGCAGATGTTTTCAAGCACATGAAACTGTCAAAGTTCGCAAAGAAATATCTGGTTTGGCAAGCCATCTGTACCTGTGGCTTGAAAAGCAGCATTTTCATAGCTTCCGGGACTGTCAACCATGAAATTTACGTGAAAGAGTGTTTGAATAAACGTCTGCTGCCTTTCCTGAAGAAACACGGTTGTTCCGTACTGTTTTGGCCGGATTTGGCATCTTGCCATTACGGTAAAAAGGCCATGGAGTGGTACGCCGCCAACAACGTGCAGGTGGTTCCCAAGAACAAGAACCCTCCCAACACGCCAGAGCTCCGCCCAATTGAGAAATACTGGGCTATTGTCAAGCGGAACCTAAAGAAGACCAAAAAAACTGCTAAGGGCGAGCAGCAGTTCAAGGCAAACTGGCTTTCTGCGGCGAAGAAGGTGGACAAGGTGGCTGTACAAAATCTGATGGCAGGGGTCAAGCGTAAGGCCCGGCAATTCGGATTTGGAAAAGCGGAAGCTTAACTGAATATTTTTCCTGAATTTTATACTTATTGAACTTGAAAAATTTTAATTTAATTTGATTTTTTAAATAAACGATTTCACCGATTTACACGCGTTTTCCCTTGACCAAATTTTGACCGTATCACCCTTTACTTTCATCTCCTCATCTTGTAAACTGCGTGTTAAAATTTGTCCCATTTTGTACAGTTTTATCAACAATCAATACGAAACTAACGATTTTAAATTGACTAGCCTATTGGTCCCAAGCAAACGATTAACGTACCCAATTCTAGTCGAAATTCTAGTACTACGCACTGTTTGTTTTGATTCGCTATGAAAGTTTGACAGATAAAATGAGGGGTTATTGGTTTTTCCTATGTTTTGAGGGGTGAATCGATTAGCTTGGGACCTAAGAGAGTACCAGAGGTGAGCTAAAAAGTTGAGCACGTTATTTCGGGACCTTCTAGTCTTAGAGTTACCTCTATGGTTTTATCGCCGAGTGTAATATTGCCGTGTTTCTCACGAGCGTGTGCCGTGTTTGTTATGCTTTGTTTTTGTGGTCATTGCACGGCAGGCGACATACTCACTAAAGAGCCTGAATTTATAAAGAGGTGACATCTTATTCATTTGACAGGTCTTCTGCTCGATTGGAATGACTTTTCCTATGACTTTGACAGGCAATCGATTGTTCCAATTTTTATATGTCGTCTCTTTGTAAATTCAGGCTCTTTAATACTCACCACTATGCCTTCGTGTATAATTTTAATTTGTAAATTTTGTACGTTATTTTATTCGGGTTTTTATGTTGTTAGTTTAGCTAGATAATGAAAAAAATATCGTTTTAAAATGTATCGCGTCCCAAATAAAATTAGGCCCTTAATGCTCCTCCCGCTGCTAAGAAGACAAAGAACATAAAAGCAGAACAGTCGAGCGTGGTTGCAGGAGCGATGGCGGTTTGTCGTTTTTTTTTTTGTAATTGTGACGTTGTGAAAAAGAACAATTCGAGCCACGGTGCAGTACGGGTGTTCTTCTGCCTGGAGACGTAATATCGTTTTTTAGTCCCGAGAAAGTGCTCCAACTGGGAGAAGAATTCCCAGTCGCGTCGCGAGTGCAAGTACGCATCTTTCCAGTACACCGCGAGTGAAAGCCGGCTCCGTGGCTGCGAAAATCACTGTGCTGATAGTGTAGTGAAAAAAGGGCCGGATCGCCATTGTGGGAAGCAGGAGCTATTCGCTTCCCTAGCTAACCAAAAAGGATCCGGTAAACACCCGCCGTCCTGACTGCGGTGGCTCAGCCAATAGAGCCAGTCTCGCCACCGCAGTTAATCGTCAAGCAGGACGAAGCAGGCAGTTCCAGAGGTGAGTTCGACTGGGCAGAAAACACTGTGTTGTCTGCTGGGGTTGCCTACGGCGAGTAGGAAATCCGGTGATTCGTCACCATCGTCACCGGGGGGGTTCCGAAAAAGGAGTCTCGCTCATCCCCCGCTAAACGCTAAGGACCACTGCTAGGCAGCCAAAAGTGAAGTATGTGCAACCACTCAGCACAATCCGTGCTTTGTAGCTGAACAGCCGCCATACCGTCGTCGAAGGGCCCCACCGAACAGTAGCAGCAATAGCGTGGAGGATAAGATAAGTAGCTAAAAGACGTTTAAAATTGTTGCTTTGTTACACCCAAATCCGAACAACTTTGGGGGAAGTACGGAAGTACCCTTGCTCGAGGCTGGCAGGCATGCTTGGCATACACAGTTTTGGTCACGAACTGCTCATTTGCTAATAACTTTGCACACAGTTGACGAAACATTCTTTTTGAAGCAGTAGATAGAATAGAGTTTAAGTCTGTTATAGATACCTAAAAATGGTGTTGATTCAAATGTTAAGATTTACCTATTCTTTGCATATCTACAGTAAACTGTGATCCTTATTATTCAATTACTTTAAAGAAAAACAAATTTGAACAACTGAGTGAAAAGTTATTAACAAATGAGCAGTTGGTGTGTACAACTGCGGCAGGTAAGCCGCAACTTATAATCTATCGTATAAAATGTCCACTTTAATTCTGATATTTGATAAAATAACCTATTTCCAAGAATTTTGTTGATTGTTCTGCAAAGAATTTCAAGAATGCAATATTATTTTTGTAAAAGCTTATTTGCCTCTAAGTTTAAGAGAAGGGGAATTATTCTAAAAAAGTTCTTGAGATAATTCTGAAGAAGTTCTTGGCGAATAATCAATGTTATCTACCTACATATATCAAAATTTTAAAGATTTCGAACGCAGAATCAAATTCAAGACCATAACAAATGGGAGTTACTATTTGCAAAAGTAACTTATTCAAATCACTTCAAATGCTCTTCACAGGAGATTCCTCTGTGAGATTCGATTGAATTAGAGGAATTTATAAAAAAATGATTTTAAGTTCCAGGACATAAAAAATTTACTTCAATATCAAACCGTATTTGAATTTATAAATTACCCTATAAATGGTCACTTATTTAGTATTTACAAGACACTATTTGGTCACTATTTCCGTAATTTTAGTCACTAAAATCACTACTATTATATCGCATCAGCACTACCAGCCCTGTAACAGCGAACCACATTATTTTAAATGATTCGTCTGTGATATTACAGTCGCTATAAATCAATGGACTTTCTTTAAGTTTTATGAAGCACCAATTTTGGTCCCCTCCCTCTTGTAGCGTATTTTTTTACATGGCTGGTCACCCGTATCAACTTTAGATAACAATAGTAAATATTCTACCCGCGTTTCGCTCGTTGGGATGCTTTTAACTTGGTTGTCCATTGATTGGGTGACATCTCAACTAAAATTCAGTTATGCTGTCATAAAATTGTATCGAACTGGCCTTGATATTTCATAGTTGACAGTTGGAAATAACCTAGTGGGCTGTTTTGAATTAATCTCAACGGATTTCAACAATCACACCGTTGTCGGTAGATGGGATGAGGTTGCGTCACACTCAATCAGCCAATGATGACTGTGCCTACACAGCAAAAAATAAATTTTTATATTATATCCATAACGATGCACTTCGATCATGTCGAAAATCTCATGTAAATTTTTATGGCAACAACAATAAATAAATGCAGCAAAAGCAGCGTAATGCACTGTATTAATGATAATTGTGTCCCTTTTGCCAAGTAATATTACACCATATTTTCGACACGTTTGAAGTGCATCCACTTTGATGTGATATTAAAATAATGTTTTTGCTGTGTACATATTGCCATTCGGTGCCGCAGTGTGGAAGATAGTGGTTATTGTTGGTGCTGTTAGTAAACAATACTCCGTCTGTGGTTGTGTTCTCGCTCGTCTTCATAATGGGCCAACCCATTTGTATCCGTAATACAAAGCGCAACCCGCAGTTTACCTATTTTTCGAGCGAGTAACAAATTGTTTATATTTGGTCTACGACTTTCAATTTTGTATTGATTTCGTACAAATACATAGGTACGTCTTTGAATTAACTTCGTCATAAAATTGAATGGAACAATAGATTCGCTTGGAGTTCTTCTTTTGTTGTTGAGAAAATAGTGTGAAAATATCGAGGTAAATTTTAATTCTTTGCGCTCTCTAAGGCTTTGTATTGTAGTTTTTGAACTAAAATACCGTACCAAACGTATAATTTAATAATTATTGCCGAAATCATAGATATATTTGATGTTTTCTGCTCGAAAGGACGAAGAGGGGCGATTAGGCCTAAATAAATGTTTACCCAATGTTCCTACAGTTACTACCTCGATATAACGTAACTGTCACTTTTGACTTCCATCGTCGATATCGCACAAATAACAATTCAGTCATATAAATTGACATGACCAATAAATCGAGGATTGTCTCATATATCCGATGGTGTTATTACTTTGCTTGTTTTAATGATTGTTAGCTAGAAATCAGCGATGGAAAACAAACGTGACAGTTACGTTATATCGATGTAAACTTGTATTACCACACTAAAGGCACACACTGTATACAACTTGTGCTTTAATGTTCGTTGTGATTTTGCATGCAATGATTTCAATTTACCGGACTTGGCATTACATTATCGGTCTTTAAAGGGCTGATAACAATTTCTCGCAGTCACCACTCCCCTCAATGCGGTGACTGCGCCTGCTTGGATCCAATACGAAAACGTGAGAATGCGGCTATTATATTCGTATTTGCCATGCTCTCATGACAGTTGAAATACGGCACAACAAATATTAGCTGATAGAAGCTAATAGCAGCCCCGGCAAAAAAAAAAAACATCATACACTTGACCGCGAGCTTTGACTTTGCACGATTAGTTCGTTGTAATCAGTTCGTCTAGAACAACGCCAAGTGGAAGTGGATACTGAAATCGCGAAAATGGTTTGGACGCGCCCTAAGGAAGTACCGTACCCATCGGTTTGGCACACCTTCAAGGCCCGGGACGTGGACAGTGACCGGATGGTGAACTACGTGGTGCAGGATCTGCCGGAGGAGCGCTTCGAGCAAGCCATCAACCATATGCTGGGGATCTTCATCTATGATGAGCCAACGTGCAAAGCCAAAAGTGAGTGATTGAGTTTGATTGAACACAGTGCGGGAATAATGAACGGTCCGCTCTGCAGTGATGGAATTCGCAATGACTCGCAAACTTTTCGCATGCTGCTGAACTTGATCAGCTGATAACAATGCGATTGTGACCTTGGTTTGAGCGGTTTGAGCGACCGATGTGTTGCTTCTCTCTTTCTCATTGTTGGTACAACAGTGTTGTAGTGTGGAATTTAATCAAATTAGAATATGGAATTTGACAGATTGCAGATACAGAGAGGTGCCTCTGTTAGCGGATGGAGTTTTTGCCGGTATTCGTTTTTCTGGATTTCTTTAAAGCTGGTTTTTGGTAATGCAGATATCATTTGCGGTCAGTATTCTTACTACCAAAGATTAGGCAGCTAGGAATTGGGAAAAGGGAATACCGGGTTAAAACTCCAACCGCAAACAACGGTACCTCTCTGTAATGTTATTCATAATTTAGAAGCGACCGGCTCAGACTGGCGACGGAGCAAATCTCACGCAACTTTTCAAATAGTACAATCTACATTGATCGATTCTCTTCGTCGACTTTCTCTTTTGATCGCCTCGGCTGTGATAAGAGATGTTTCCGGATATTTTCGACACACAGTTTTATGAAAAAGCTAAAATCTAGCATCTACTATTATCGGTACAGTTGAAAACCGAAATAACGCACTAGAGCTACAATCGATTTTACTCTCGTTCTGTACGTTAGACATATCAAGCTGAACATTGCATTAGGTCCTAAGTAACATTGACAGACTCTTTGTATCCAACGGCCATGTAAAGACATTCCCAGGTATTTTCAGCACACAGATCGATAAAAGAAGCTTTTATCTAGCATCTGATATGACAAACACAACGAGAAACGGTTATGTGCTCAACTTATTAACGAAACAGAAAGTCGACGAAGAGAATCGATAATGTAACTTAGGTCCTAGTGCAATGTTCAGCTTGATATAGTGTCGGAAGTAGTGCGCTGTATCGCGCATCATTGTGCGGTTTCAGCTCACTATTTCCGACAGTACTATAGGGTAGAGAACTACTTCGGTCTAATAGCCCATTTTGGGCCTATCGAGCAGAAAACTTCAAATAAATTCATAATTTATGAGTTAAGAAGTCAATTATGCGTTTGGTACGATACTTTAGTTAATAAGCTACGGAACGAAGTCAATGAGAGCGCGTGATGGTGATGGTTTGCACCCATTCTTCCCAAAAACAAAATAAGCGCTCCGACCGAATCAATTTTTATCTCCATCCGATAGGCCGAAGTGAATTAATTGGCATTTCAATGCGTTAGGCCGAGTTTGGCGTCAAGAAGCAGTGTTAGATTTTTAACAATATCTCAACGATTGGTTTCTCTATATCAAATCTTACGGTACATACGGAAAGGTAAATTAATTTGGAAGCCATCAGTAATAATAACATTGATAAACTGCGCTGGATTAAGAAAGACTAAGTGCGGGTTGTGCTTAATAGGCCGGAAATGGGGTAGTTAACCCTATATTTCTAACGCACAGAACGAGAGTCAAATCAATTGTAGCTAGTGGGTTATTTTGGTTTTCAACTGTACCGATAATATAACAAATACGAGAATTGATATTATTAACAAAAGAAAGTCCACGAAGAGAATCGATCAATTGAGTAGAGTGGTCTATTTGAAAAGTTGAGCGAGAATATCAAATCACTAAATAGAACCCAATTTGCGTAGGCATGAACTTGATAATCTGACATATGTTGCTACAGCACCAAGCATTATTTATCATCAATTTTCTAAATTGCTTCAATTGGCGTTCTTCTCCTTATTGACCTTCTGTCGGCTAGACGACCAGGTTTGTGTGTCTCTTTATTTGACTACTGAGCGGTTCCACGAACAAGTGGGAAATTTTTCCAGTTTTTATTTTTTGTATTTTTTGATTTGCATGAAACCTTGCATACAAGTTTTTGGGGAAGAAAAACGCCGTTTTGCATACTTGGTTCGCCATTTTGAATCTAGCCTTACATATGAGAAGGGCCTATGAAAAATGCACATGATATCTTCAAAAAATTGTATCTCGGAAACGGTTTGTCCGATTGGTTTGGTGTCTTGGGCAAAGTTTTAGACAATTGTTGGTGTTATATGGAGAAAATATGCACGGTAAAAAAAAAAGTTTGGTATTTGTGTTTTGAACTAAAATATAAATTTTCCCTTTAAAGTGACATGTCAATAATTTTTATATTATCCTTATGTTATAGCTGACTGAAAATGCTATCCAGTGCACAGTAGGTTGTTCTGGAGAAAAATAGGTTACAATGAAAAAAATTGTTTTTTAAAAAAATACAATTTTCAAAAAAGCTATTAAGAAAAGTCAAAAAAGTTTGTCACCCTAATTTTATGAAAGTACATCAAATTTGGAAACAAAAAGTACTTCGGTAACATTTTTCTAAGATGCACCGTTTAGAAGATATTACTGATTTAATATTGTTTTTTTTTGATAACTTAATAAGTTTTGGCCCTTTTCGGATGTACTCCGTATTTTTCCAGTTTCAAAAGTATTTTTTTCGGAAAGATTGGAAAATTTTGAGTTAAAATGATAGTGACAGCTTAAAGATTCGAGTGAAATTCTCTGCCTTAAAAGTATTTTGAAAAACAAGTTACAAAATCCCACTATCAGGAACAATGATTTCTTCAAATGATTTTTGGTGCGTTGTGCTGAAAACGTGCTAACAAGTATTAGATACAGGTAATCAGATACCAGTTAGCTGTACTACGTACAGTTGGTGATTGTAAACATGGTCTTTGTTGGAACTAGTCCACCATGGCCACGCTGGCCATAACGAGGCTAGCTCCGTCGTTGACCGTGCCTTAATAATAAATAAAAAGAACGCAGTAGTCACCTTCCATCAAACTAGAGGGCTGCCGACTGATACCTCAATCAACAACCGCCGCACTCTTTATTCAATTCAGGTACATATATACAATTTACAATCTTCTTCAATAACAATATACCTACGCCAGCAAATCTACCTCGCGAAAGTTTGGTCACGATACCATCAGAGTCAACGCTAAGCACAATTAAATCAAATGAAGACTTCACGATGCCTGTAGACGTCGAAATATTCAACCGAGGAATAGCAGCTATTCGTGTTTCGCCTATAGATTTAGGTAAGGTTAAAAATGTTCACTATCCTGAAAAAAAGTGCGCTGAAATCGTCGAAGGTGTACGAAGAAATCTTTTTAAATTAGACGCTAAAACAGAAAAAGCAAACGAGTTTGATGAAGTCATAGAAAATATGAAAATTAAATTTTTAAATTCAGCCACAAAGCAAGAAAAACTATCAATTTTATCATTGTTGCCAAAATCATGGTCAGTACAAAAAATTGTAGACGAATTTAAAACCAGTAGAAATATGGCATCAGATGCAAGAAAGGAAAGAGATAATGTATTTGATTCATCTCAAGCCTCCGGCCAAGGCAATGTAAACTATTGACTATCACAGGAACACATAATGTTTGCGTTTGCACTACGCATGAAAATGTCAATTTAATTCTACATAGCTTAAAAAATACAATGTCTTGAATGATCTAAAAACATTAACGAATAGATTACTTTGCGAAAATAAGACAACTCATTGCCATCTACGAAGATGTAAAAACTGCCCAGATACCTCAGTTTTAGAAGACAGTTTATTGAAACAACTGGAAGAAAACTTTGTTGAAAAGCTTTCATTCGAACAATGGGTTACCACTGACAGATGTGATTTAGAAACTATTGTAAAGCAAACCGATGAGTTTGTTTCATTTTTCAGCTCAAAATTAGAAAGTTTGATTCCGCATGATTTTGTAAAAACCGAACAATCCAATTTTTTGAAAACTACAAAACAAAACTTGCAAGATGGTGAATTTTTAGCTATTTGTGACTTTTCTGAAAATTACAGCTTCGTTTTGCAGGATGAAGTTCAATCACACCATTGGAACGTGCAACAGGCCACAATCCATCCTTTCGTAATATATTATACTGAAAATATGCAAATTATACATTTTAGCTTCATTATAATTTCTGAAGAACTAAGACATGATTCAGTCGCTGTCAATTTGTTTATTGATAAAATGATAAACTTTTTACAAATTGATCAAAATAAAAACATAAAAAAAAATTATTTTATGTCAGATGGTGCTGCTTCACAGTATAAAAACCGAAAAAACTTTTCTAGCCTTTGTAAATTTAAGTCAAAGTATGGTATTGACGCTGAATGGCATTTCTTCGCAACATCGCACGGAAAAGGTCCATGCGATGCTATTGGAGGTACGATAAAACGCATGGCTACCAGAGCAAGTTTAGCCAAAGAACGCGAACACCCGATAAAGACTGCAAGAGAGTTGTTTAATTGGGCAAACAAACGAAAAGAAGAAGAACTTACAAAGTTGTCATTTTGTTATTCAACTACAGAAGAATACGAAAATATGTCTTTGCAGCTAAATAATCAATATAATAATGCAAAAACAATTCAAGGAACTCTAAAATTCCACTCATTTCTTCCTCTATCAGAAAATACAATAAAGGCAAAGCTTTATTCAAACTGTCCTGACAATGATGCCAAAATATTCAATATTGTTAAGAAAGTTGTGTAAACAATAATTTTATAAAAATACAGGAATAAAAATAAACTGATGATTTCCAACATAATGTTATTTTTTATTGCGCACAATCACCATCGCTGAAAAATAAGCTTAATTCGCTCTTTTGAATCTTGCTAATTGAGGAGCTTACATTTGCAGTTCTCAAAAAGGTGTATCTCGAAATCGAGTTGTCTCATCGGTTTGATGTCTGTGGCGATGTTCGGCAATAGAGAGAAAATATGCACAGTATAAACACATCCAGTTTAAATGGATTAAACTGTTAGGCAAGAGTTGAATGCACATTTTCAGCACAACGCACCAAAAATCACTTGAAGAAATCATTGTTCCTGATAGTGGGATTTTGTAACTTGTTTTTCAAAATACTTTTAAGGCAGAGA